ACATTTATTTTCCGTTTTTTGGCAGTAACATTTGGCATATACGCAACTGTATGGATATGGGTACCGTTTGAACGAGGGTTCTTTTGCGGGGATGAAAGTCTCATGTTCCCATACAAGCCCGATACAGTCACGACACCCATGCTAAGACTTCTCAGCTTGTTGCTACCTATCACAGCGGTAAGTGTATACATTTCTAATATGATATAATAATTTACTCTAATTAGGTAGCAAGAGTATCGAAATAATGGCTTTTTGTTAGTTACATTTAAAAATACGTATTAGTTTACATATATAATACATATTAGAAACCATTAAAACTTTTGGAATTTTTATTAAAAACTAACGTTTCGGTTCCGTCTCTGGGTAGGTACGTTTTACGCTTAGTATGGAATAGATAGATTATATATTAGTATATTATGTATATATAGGTATGATGAGTTCTATATTCCTTACTTGAGAAATGATTGGTTCCCCATACAAACTTTCATCCCTCTTTTCACCCCTTAAGGGATGATGTCAGGATAAAACTCGATGTGTTTTGATTTTTATCGGCTAGCACCGACTACAAAAATATCTGATTAGGTATCTATCATAAATGAAAATCAGTTACTATTTAAGTTTTAGTGGGTTTTTTTGAAGTCATTTTTTTGAAGTTTTCATTTTTCCCTTTTTAGGGTAGACATATTAGTAGCAAAGTAGGAAAAAAGTGTTTTAATAAAATATTCGCTTAAGCCGTTTAAGTTAGTTTGATGCCAATTTTATATGAGAATGGCAAACTAAAATTCGCTTTTATTAATAACACTAAAAAATCAGGCTCTAAAATCCAATCCTAACTTATTTGTCTTGTCAAACGAAACAAAATAAGCCCGAACTCAAAGTATCACTATTAGCCGTTGAAGAGTTCCACCCATCCATCATCTAGCCTTACCATCAGATCAGGTCGATAACTAACATAAAAAAATACCTACAGCCTAATTGAGAACCTCCTTCTTTTTTGAAGTCGGTTGAAAATAGCCACTTGGACCAGTAGGAGTCGATTGAAATACGATTCCGTGCATTACGCAATTTGATTTTTCTGTGAAGTAAGAAAATTATGAATCTTTAGAAAAAAAATTATAATTTTTTAATCATTTAACCCTTTTTTCAGTTTCTTGTATGCGAATTCGTTTTACTGCGCAAAGAGGTCGACGACAAGCGCATCTTTAACATGTGCATACCAGTGTGGGCCCGAAGTTTCTACTGCTCTTTGGCTTCATTCTCTTATGGATGTTGCTTCATAGAATTGGCTATCAACGCCACTAAGAATGTTATTGGTAGACTGAGACCACACTTTTTTGATGTAAGTGAGAAATATACAAAAAATATAATTCTAACCTCGTTCTTAAGAATTAGCTTTTTAATTCAGATAAATATCCCACGTGAACCATATTATACGCTGGAATAGATAATGATGTCACTTTCTGGCCCAGAAACTGAATACAAATGATCACGTTTAGTCTACTAATTTAGACAAAGTTGCAGTCAGAGCAGTCCATCTTACTCACTTATTATCTTCTTTTATTAGAAAGACTCGCAATGCCCGCGGCTCCGCCCGCGTTCAGATGATCAAAAACCAAATTCTTAGCCTTTACATATTAGTATACTCTTACATTGCAGTTTTTGTATTTTTTCTCAGAAATGAGACATTTTACCGCGGTAAAAAGTATCCTATACGTTGACCCGGATTACCAGCTATCATCATACCAAATTTTATCAAAATCCCTCGAGTGAGATATTATAGTGCTCAAGTGTACGCGCAGACACAAGTGCACTCTCTATTCCTATCACTCTCATACTCTGGTGGGACGACCACTCGACACGACCGGTGAGAGTTAAGGCGCAGGACCGACGGCTTTACGTGCTCTCAAAGGCACGGGGGTGAAACACCGCCAACTTCCCAACTCCGGGCTGTTACTGAGACTTACTATACAGGAAGACTCAATAACTAAACTTGGCCAGACCCGGGACTCGAACCCAGGACCTCCGGGTGTGCAGCCGTACATGCTAGCCACTACACCACCGAGGCACCGAGCAAACTAATAATACTCGTACAATGAAATCATACTATTATTATAAATGCGAAAATTAGTATGTTTTACTTCTACGCTGAGAACCTGAGTGTAAAGCGCTGGTAGGTATCTAAATATGACATTATTTTTCCAGCTCTGCAAGCCCTCTATAGACTGCAGCCTGCCTGAATGGCAGAAGCGGTACATACAACCCAATGAATACCATTGTTTAGGAGATCAAACTGATAAATTTCATGATATGCACATGTCTTTCCTTAGTGGACACTCTGCGTGGTCTGCCTACGCCATGTTATACCTGGCTGTAAGTTGAAATATAATTTAATATAGCATATACTATTTCAAAATTTACTTGATCTTAAATATCTAGACAAGATTCAATATAGACCTATTTTAACGCGTTTTTAATCTTCATGCAACTATATCATGAAATTTTAATAAGTCGACTTTAATTTATTTTTATTAATCCACGAGACGGGTAGTGTAACTCTTCCATGGTACTAATAAACCCTTCGAGTTTGGACTCATTTAATTCATTTTTACGATTTCTATTCCATATGGCATACTATTTGTCAAAAAAGTGTTTTTATATTTTCCTTTTAAATACATAATTAAATAGAATGTCATTGAATTCTAGCTCTATTTAGAAAAGCGTATGGTCTGGCGAGGTGCGCGAGGGTTGCGCCATTCTCTACAATTCGCAGCAATGTTGCTGAGCTGGTTCATTGCTATGTCCAGAGTGTCAGATTACAAACACCACTGGAGTGATGTGCTTGCTGGGTACTCCCTAGGACTCACTTTTGCTATTCTCGTGGTAAGTATATAAAAAAATATATAGCGCCTGATAAATTTTCATAGCAACTTGTTTACATCTGTGATTACCATATTCTTTTTAATCGAATGTTAAGGAATATGCTCTATTTATAAACATATAGAATATTATTTATTACAGACTAGAGGCTCACCCTCGCTTCCCTCGGGTTCGCCTCTAGACAAACAAAAACAAATCTATCCTAAGGGAACAGTTAATTTTTCTGGGATAAAAAGTAGCTAATTTGTTAATCTAATATATGAACTATATTATTGTAAAGTTTCATTAAAATCCAATCAGTAGTATTTGTATACTAAGCTGTATAAATTACTATAGTTTTTTAACTATCCCACTAGAACTAATTTTACGGGATGAAATATATCTAAAATACTGACCGGGAACATAAGGTACCACAATGCAAAATTCCATTTAAATCGGTCCAAAATTTTCGGAGACTAACCCGTACAAGCAGACAAACAGACAGAGAAACAAAAAAATTGAAAAAATCTGGATTTGTTCTATTTCCCTTCTTACGTCCCCCTGACTCGGATTTTAGCATTTTTTTCCATGTACAGACATTCGAACTCTACAGTTATAATAATATATGTATGGTTAACAAAAATAACATGATTACAAATTACATTAAATTTTACTTATTACTACTTGGCTTGGCTAGTACACAAACATCTCTACGTACTGTACCTACTTGTTGTACAAATTTATAAAACTGTTATAGCTATAAAAACATTATAAACTCCTTCTGTAATATTGTATTCCCAAGCAAATTATTAATTTATTTAAATAATTTTTCAGTGGAAATGGGGTACAGACATCTTAGAACCTAAGAGTAAGCATAAGCCCATCCCTCTACATGACTCTTCTCATATGGAGCAACGTCAAACAGCTTTACCTGCATAGTTTACTGACAACCAGTGTTTTTTTTAGTGATATATAGAGATATTTTTTCTAGTGTTCAAATATTTTTGTATTTATATACTTTAATTAATTAGTCGTTTAAAATTCATAACAATTATAGAAACAAGAATATCTTTTCAATTTACCAAAAATTTAATGAAGATCTCATTATAATAATATATACCATAGGTGTATAATAATAAAATAAATACGTATAAGATTTACGCCTGTTATAAATATAAAGCAAAGCTTGGCTCAAGTTAAAAGTTGTTAATAAATAAATAAAAAACATTAAAAGAACAATATAAGCGTAAAATTAATAAAAAATATAAATTCTTTAATTTTAGCCCATTTGCTTTAAAAAAATTTTTTATATATTATCTTATAATATGTAAATAAGTGAGTAGGTACATAAGTTAGTATTTAATGAGGTAAATAAATAATTTTACTACAATTTGTATATTTATTCAACTCCACGAATATATTGTATATTTATGTTCTATCGTTGATGTCTTTCGTAGGTCTTTTAAAATGTGTTGAAACGAATAACAGTTAAGTCACATGGTACCCCAAAATAAAAATCCTGAATATAAATATAAATCGGTCTAAATATAAATAAACCTATTATATAAATCGTAGATGACTTTATTGATTAGACCACATAATAAATTTAAGCTTTTCCATTAAGTAATAAAACCTAAAACGATATTACAAATTGATGGACGCTTTTAAATTGGAGAAAGTCAAGATGCGTAGTAGCATTGCGCGTACGACGTGGTGTGATTGATATTTTTGATCTCGACATACCTAGATCATTTTTCAAAATACTTTTCGTCTGGTGACTAGATGAGTGAAGCACAAACTTACGTTTCAACAAACAGATTGTCAGAGCTACTTCCACATTTATAATAATTAATATTAGTATAGAAATCTATAGATAATAGAATAAAAAGGAATTAAGTAAGAAACTTGCTTATAAGTCAACGGGGTGCAATAAATGTACGATAAAATAAAGTAAATAAGCACAATTTCCTATTTATAATAAGATAATGATTACCGAGCTTAGATTTTGCCTTCCCTTATCTCTTGACCCGTTGTTTCATATACATTATATAAGTGGCGGTCGCGTCTATTTCATTCAATACGTCTTGAGACGTCGAACACATACAGTATTTTGTTAGACAGCTTTTTTGTGACACACGGACAAAATGTCGAGAGAAGCGTCGATGCCTATTATAAAAAAGTTCTTGGTGGACATTTTCTTAATAGCAGGACGTAAGTAATATTTTTTTCGTTAATTATAAATGTAATCCGTATTTGTAAGGTCAGAAACATTTGTGAATAGGGTTTTTAAACCAAAAATCATAATTTATAATAATATTTTTTAAGACAAGTTTTATTCAAACTTCAAAAGATAATAATAAAACTAAGTTTAAAAAAACTATTAAGCGTTAGCACATAAAGCTATTGTTTACACAAAAGTTGACCGATACAACTAATGTTAAAACTTAAGTAAATCAACATTTAGTATTAATTTTACAAATATTTTATATGTAAAAACTGTTCCTGATGTGGTGTATTTTCATTAATCCGTCCACGACCGCGGATACGCCGGCGTGTCAGTTAACAATAGATCTCTTAGAATTTTAATTAATTTCCTAGAAATTTACCTGGAGCTGTTAATTTCGTACTTAAAATAGCACCATTTACTTTTTTTTCGTATATTTGAGAAAATAAAACCTTTTTTAATAAAAGAAATTTAAGCAGTATTTTTAATGATTTCAAACCTAGGTTCGATTTTAAAAGCGTATATTATGGTATCACTCATTTATTTCTTTCTACGACATAATAAATGTATTTTTTAATCTATCTACTTTTTTAATACATATATCTACTATATTTAATATTTTATTAGATTTATTTACCTTTTTTGGCAGTAACATTTGGCATATACGCAACTGTACGGATATGGGTACCGTTTGAACGAGGATTCTTTTGTGGGGACGAAAGTCTCATGTTCCCATACAAACCCGACACAATTACCACACCCACGCTTAGAGTCGTCGGTTTGTTCCTGCCTACCATAGCGGTAAGTGTATGCATTTTAAATATGATACTTAATAAATTATTACTCTAATTAGGTAGCAGTAGTTTCGAAATAATGGCTTTTTGGTAATAAAATTCAAAAAAACTTTTTAGTTCACATATTACTAGCGACTCACACTCGTTTCGCTCGGGTTCGTCCCGACCCAGATTTCCCATATAAACTTTCATCCCTATTTTTACCCCCTTTAGGGATGATTTCCGGGATAAAAAGTATCCTGTCCTTCCCAGGGTCGCAAACTATCTTCTCGCCAAATTTCATCTAAATCGATTCTGTAGATCTCGAGACTACCTCCTACAACGTCACAAACTCACAATCTCACAAACTCACCAACTTTACCTCTTTATAATATTATAAAAAAAATCGTGTCACAGTGTTTGTAGCAAAACTCCTCCGAAACGGCTTGACCGATTGTTATGAAATTTTGTGTGCATATTCAGTAGGTCTGAGAATAGGACGTAAACTATTTTTCATATCCCTAACTTATAAGGGTGGTCCACCCCAAAAAAAATTTTTTTTGGACAATCTTTTTTTGTTTTAATTTTGTTATTTTGTGATTCGGCATTAAAAAATACACACAAACCTAAATTATCACTAATGGCGAACCCGAGCAGAGCAAGAGTGAGTCTCTAGTATTAATATATAATAATTATGATTTATGGCCCATATAATATTATCAACTTCAATCAACTATGACGCAGGGATTGAATAACATGTAACATAACCTAATAACATAATATAATCTCTTGAAATAATTTTCAAGAGATTGGATATGATGAAATAATGTAATATTTTTGTGAAATAAGAAAATAAGTTTCAAATTAAATATGAAACACTAACAGGAGTTTATCTATACATATAATAAAATTTAACACTAAGTCGAATCTGTACATTAAATATTTTTTGGGAAATCTTATCGAAATAGACATTATTATCGATACAGAGTCCGAATCTATAGTTTTTAGAATTTTTGTCCATCTGTCTGTCTGTTACCGCATCACGAGAAAACCACTGGACAGATTTTGATGCAATTTGGTATGATGATAGCTGGTTATCCGGGTCAACATATAGGATACTTTTTACCACGGGAAAATATCTCATTTCTGAGAAGAAATAAAAAACTGCATTGTAAGAGTATACTAATCTGTAAAACCTAAGAATTTGGGTTTTGGTCATTTAAACGCAGGCGGAGCCGCGGGCAATGCTAGTTATTAATATATCACACAACTATTTAGAGTAGTTAGACATGAGTGATGCAACACAATTTACTTATAAAATTTTATGAATATTATTTTTGTTATTAATTATTTTATTATATTATAGTGGTATACAGTATTATATTATTTATTTTATTATTAAAATTAAGAAAAAAAATTATAACATATTATTAAAAAAATATAATAATAGTTCGATCCAAATAACATTAAGTATTTTACACATAGATAAAAAGTAATTTAAATTATCTTTATTTAGTATACATTAAATATAAGCGTACATTAAAAAAAAACAAGGACGAGTTGGATTCGTACGAAATAGGATTCCGTACATTACACAATTTTTTTTTCGTAAAGTAAGAAAATTATGTTTTTTATTAGATTTTTTTGTTATTAAATTATGTTTTTTATTAGATTATTAGATTTTTTTATATTTTTTTGATCATTTTACTCTTTTTTCAGTTTCTTGTATGCGAATTCGTTTTATTGCGCAAAGAGGTCGACGACAAGCGAATTTTTAACATGTGCATACCAGTGTGGGTGCGAGGCTTCTACTGCTCTTTGGCTTCATTCTCTTATGGTTGCTGTTTCGTAGAACTTACTACCAACATCGCTAAAAATATTATTGGCAGACTGAGACCACACTTTTTTGATGTAAGTGAGAAATATAAAACAAAGATATAATTTTGACCTCGCCGATAAATACACAGATAAATATCCGACGTGGACCATATGATACGCTGGAATGACGATCACGGCACTGTCTGGCATATAAACTGAATACAAATAATAGCGTTTATTCTACTAATTTAAGCAAAATTGCGGTCAGGACAGCCAATCTTACTCACTTATTATCTACTTTTATTAGAAAGACTAGCGACTCACTTGATCCCGCGTTTCATCCCCATTTTCACCCGTACAAAGTTTCATCCCTATTTTCACCCCCTTTAGGTATGATTTTCGGGATAAAAAGTATTCTATGTCCTTCCCATGGTCTCAAACTATCTTCTTATCAAATTTCATCAAAATCGGTTTAGTAGATCCAGAGATAACCCCCCTACAACGTCACAAACTCACAAACTTTACCTTTATAATATTAGTATAGACTGATAACAAGTTTGCATACACAAGTGTCGTCCCTATTCTATTACTGTCATATAGGAAGATAAGATGGCACGCCTAAAAAAAGATAATTTGCAAAGGTCACAGTTCATGATCCCAACGATTCCTAATAAAGTGATATATTATCGATAGTTTATAGCTTATTTATCAATATAGACATAATTTACAGAAATTTCTAACCAAAAACTAAATGAACAAAATTATCATGTTAAGTAAAATAGTAATGTCTTATCTTGTCACTGTTTCCAAACAATGCTACTTAGATAATAATTAATGAGTATAATACGACTTTTTAGGAAATACATAGTAAGATATTTGTCTATTTTACCTGTACAGTGTACTGTACATTTTACCTGTACAGTGTACTGTACAGGTAAAATGAAAAAATACATATGTATGTAATATACAGGCTGTACTGTTAAATTATGCAAAGAAATACCCCACAAAAACTTTTAATAGTATTTTACAAAAATTATTTAGCCATTATACTTTTTAACCTAGAGTGTTAACTGTTAATTTTTAGAAAAAAAACCAATTCATCATAATTATCATATTACCAAAACTGATAATACAATAAAATCATAATTCTATTTTAAATACGAAAATTGGCATGTGTTACTTCTAAGCAGGAATAGCTTTTTAAAGGAAGAATTTTGACATTTATTACACAGACAGACTATGGCCTGGAGTACCACGTAGGTTATTCTTGGACACCTACGAAGCTTGATCAAAGAGAGCTTACGTCGCTAGTATCTAAATATATCATTATTTTTCTAGCTCTGCAAGCCATCCGTAGACTGCAACCTGTCTGAATGGCAGAATCGGTACATACAACCCAATGAATACCACTGTTTAGGAGATCAAACTGATAAATTTCATGATATGCACATATCCTTCCTTAGTGGACACTCCGCGTGGTCTGCTTACACTATGTTGTACTTGGCAGTAAGTTTTAACATAATGTATACTTTTTAAAAATTCGCTTGATCTTAAATATCTATTTATTTAGCATGCTTTTATATATTCACGTAACTATGTCATAAAACTTTTAAAAGTCTACTTTAACTTACTTTTATTGAGCCTCGACACGAGTAGTGTAGCTCTACAAGGGCTATTAGTAAAACAATAGAGTTTTGACTCATTTAATTCATATTTACGATTTCATACCATTTGTCAAAAACTTCTTTTATATTTTCTTTTTAAATACATAATTATATAGCATATCATTGCATTCTAGCTCTATTTAGAAAAGCGTATGGTCTGGCGAGGAACGCGAGGGTTGCGCCATTCTATACAATTTGTAGCAGTGATGCTGAGTTGGTTCACTGCTCTGTCCAGAGTATCAGATTACAAACACCACTGGAGTGATGTACTTGCTGGGTACTCCGTAGGACTTACTTTTGCTATTCTTGTGGTAAGTAAAATATATATATATATATATATATAGTGCCTGACAAATTTTTATAGCAACTTCTTAGACCTGTGATTACCATATTATTTTTATTCAAAGGTTAGGGATTTTCTCTAACCATAAAAATATAGATTATTGTTTATTATAGATGATCTAAAATAACATTATTAAAAATTACATTAAATTTTACTTATTACTATTTGGCTTGGCTAATACACAAACATCTCTACGTACTGTACTTGTTGTACATATTTAGAAAACTGCTATAGCTATAAACACATAAACTCCTTCTGTAATATTGTAGTCGTAAGCAAATTATTAATTTATTTCAATCATTTTTCAGTGGAAATGGGGTACAGACATCTTAGAACCTAAGAATAAGCATAAGCCCATCCCTCTACATGACTCTTCTCATATGGAGCAACGTCAAACAGCTTTACCTGCATAGTTTACTGACAACAAGTGTTTTTTCCAGTGTTGTATTGAGATATTTTTATCTAGTATTAAGATATTTTTGTACAGTGGACCCCCGGTAATCCGACAAACGGTTTGCAGGGCCGTTTCGGACTATCGAATATATATACTTTAAGTAGTTAGTTAGGTTACATTTAAAATTCATAACAATTATGAAAACAAGAATATCTTTTCAATTTACCAAAAATTTAATAAAGATCTCATTATAATAATATATGCCATAGATGAAAAATAAAAATGTATAGGTACGTATAAGGTTTATGCCTGTTATAATTATATAGCAAAACTGGGCTTAAGTTAAAAGTTGTTAATAAATAAAAAAGAAACATTAAAAGAACAATCTAAGCGTAACATTAGTAAAAAATGTAAATTCTTTAATTTTTGCCCATTTACTTTAAAAAATAAATATAAATACAATATTTTTTATATTATAATAATTTTTTAAATTAAAATAATTGCAAGCGTCTATAAGTCAGTTCATACGTTAGTATTTAATTATATAAATAAATAATTTAACTACAATGTTTATAATATTTATTCAACTACACGAATGTACAATACTATCGTTGATGTCTTTTGAACTTCGAATCCATGGTTACACTGTTTTGTTACACTGGTGTAACTACTGAGAATATATATATATATATATATATATACATACAATATATTTATTCGCATAGATAGTATGTACTCTCAGTACCCGCGGGTTTGCCCGCGTTCAAACTACTAAAAACACAAACTCCGGGTCCAATTGTGTTTTCAAACTATCCAGGAGACCATTGAACAAGCCCATACTCACAAAATTTTTATCCAAATCGGTCTAGCCCTTTAGAAGAAGTAAGGTGACAAACACATGTACAAAATAATTATATAAATTAAGGTATATATATATATATATATATATATATGTATACATATAAGTATATGTGAGCATTTGTTACACCTTCCCGTTGACTCGGCTGGCTGGATTTAGATGAAACTCAGTACACGAATAGACTGTGGTCTAGAGTAGCATAAGGTTACTGTAAGGCATGTAGAGACGTTATAATTTTTATAATTGTTTAATCGGTAAACAATATAAGTGCAAAGGCATTAAAATTATATTATTTTAAATATTATACTTCATGTTAGGTTTGTATGTAAATAGAACACTTTATGTACGTTGTAATTACGTAGATTTATTTTAATAATCACGTAAGTAATGTTATACGAGTACATACGAAAAATATGACTTATGAATAGTAAAATGGCGAACTCGGTACACGTCTTCGGAGTTCGGAAATAGCACTTCCGTAAGTCGCGTTTCCAAGAGTTCACTGGAAATTATAACAATCTTCGTGGCAAAAGGAGTAAGTGCTTCCCGACACTGATTGCTGTTTGGATACCTCGAATTCCACAGTAGATATATACTACTATTTCCAAGTGTCTAACTACAGCTACTTCCGTGAGCTTAATTTGCATCTTCATGAGTACTAAAATGTGCAGAAAAGCTTTTAAACACTTGCACAGAAGAACATTGTAACTTCAATTTCCACTAATTCAATTTTTTTTTCTTAAACTGGCGACTTACCTCGCTGCGTTCAAGTATTTGCTAAAGGGTGCCGTTATCTCTCTATTAGGATAGAATTTAAAGTTTTATATTTGTCTTTTAATAAACACAATATCTTCTTCTCCCTGCCCTATACTTGGAGTCGGCGCATTACGTCTATATTGCTTATTGGTCTTAGCAAAAAAATTCCGACCGGCTGCCTGTCTGACGGAAACGCTCTTTGGGAATGCTGTTGTTCGCCAACCTCCGAGCAAGGGACTTAAGGTGTGATGTTCCTAGATCCTTAAGTCGTCTCCTACAACACCTATACAGGAGGAGTTGGGGTAGCCCTATTCTAAGCCGGGCGCTACACGACTAGTAAGCACAATCTATGTCAGTATAAAAACACAATACAGATGTCAAAGTGTTTAAGCTTCAGGATACTGTTTAATTCAAATATGTGTTTATGTATATAAATTTGCCTTTTAGATTAGTCTAGAATATATTATAAGGAGTAATCAGTAAGACGTTGCGACTCTACAGTATGAAAATAGTGCGTCCTACACATTGATTTGTGAATATTCATTTTGCGTTATTTAAATTCTAAATTGATAATTACCTACATAAGTTTTCATAATTTTACAATGCATGCATTTAAAATAAGTGTAATGCTAATAATCTAGTGCACTGTATCAAATATTTGTAACAGAAGATTAAATAGAATAGGGTTGAAACTAAAAAAAGACAATAGTGGTTTTTTGTCCGTATGTTTATACTGTTTATATGTAATATAATCACGAAAAATGAAGACGGTATTTCATTGACTAAATACATTAGTATGATAAATACTGTACGATACCTCCTTAGCAGGATTAACGATTGCCAAAACTTTACAAACTTTAACCTCAGACCAATAAAACTTTTTTATTGGTCTGAGACTTTAAATTTCAACTTTTCTCTTTTATATAAAAAAAAACTCCAGAACTTACTGACTTATAATACAACTTAACGTCTCTACGTAGGAACATATTTTTAGACAAAATTTTATGCTAAGTTTTTGTAATACAACACTCAACTCAATGCACCATCCATTATTATTACATGTTAATAATTTATATAGCTACAACCTGCGTTGCTGACCGTAGATGACTTTGTCGATTAGACTGTATAATTAATTTGAACTTTACTATTAAGGAATAAAGCCTAAAACGATATGACAAATTGATGGAAGCTTTTAGATTAGAGGACTTTGTGAATTACAGCTTTCATTCAAATTTATTCTCTATTACATATAAATAAGTGTTAAAGTTGTAAGCCATTTGAGCATGAGGCTTCTATATTAGTAGAGTTTACTTTCTCCAGCGGGCGATTTGGCTCGGAATGCCCGATGTACTGCCCGCGCCGCTTCTTCGCTACCTTTGTTTATCATAGATCAAGATTTAATTTAGTATTGAAAGCTGTAATTATGTTTGATAATTTGAAAAACACATACTAAGCTATGAGATTAAGGTTAATTAGAAATAAATTAAATATATACATTTAACAAGCATTTATAAAACACGGGTTTGCTTATTTTATACAAAAGATAAAGTCCACATTTTGAAGAAATTTAAAAAGAAATTAAATATCTACATATTATATAAAGCTAACTTGATATACATTATACTTATTAATATCTTTTTAAACCCTTGTTAAAAAAGTTTTTTTTTATAATTTTAAAACAATAAGTATTATAGAAAGTATTATAGCAAAAAGTTTACTTAAATCTAGTATCATCACGAAGATTGTGATATATGATATGATTTTTTTTAACATTTTGCATAGATAGTACACGTTTAATATCTCTCATATGCGAGACAACCCAGCAATCAAAATAATTATTTACACTTGTAAATAGCATCTGTCGATTCTTAAATATTTAACAAGCTTAGATTTAGAGCAGTTGAGTCAATATTACTTTAACAGAAATTATAAAACAGCAAAAAATCTCTTAGAGACCAGTGCATATAGGCAGTATCTGGTAATGCATCTATGACAACGACGCGATGCCGACCGTAAACAATCGCGGGCAGTTCCTGACCGGCCCCCGCGAGAGTCGGACGTATCGAATCATGCCAGATCTGAACAGTGGTACCGTTGGTTTCTATAAACTCTTTTAGTTTTTGTTCCGTTAGTGCTATTGTGCTGTGTTACGTACTTAGATTGGCACAGGTTGTGCTCGATGCCGATGTAGATAGTAAAGTAAGTTCATTAACACTTATTGGTAGAGCCCCGTTTTCGTTTACACGAAAGACTCTCGTAGTTTTTATAAGTAAAACTTAAGTAATTTTTACATTTTCACCCCTAAACTCGTCGATGTATTCAATGTTAGCCGATAAAACCTTATTAAGTACCCGCATAAAAAACCTTAAGTCCTCTATAATTAATTCAAAGTAATACAAAGTTAAATACAAAAATAAATGTAACCTTCGACATGAAGTTGTGAATTAAAATAACATTTGTACAAAATCGCCACAAAACCTGTTTAAGTCCATGTGAGCAATTCACAGAGTGCCGTAATAGAGCGAGACTTTTAATATGCGAATTATTTACATATAAAAAGTATTAAAACTCGTCCAGTTGAAATTCCTAAACTTTTTACGTCATTTTAATTTTTATCTAAGAGAGATTTTAGTTTTTCTTAAGTCAATAAAAAGTTTTAGTAACTGTTATACTGATATTTTCTATACATACAATAAAATTCTAACATTAAACATTTTTTGGAAAATCTTATTAAAAGAGTAGAGTAGATTCGGCGTCTGTATCGATAATTATTATCGATATAGAGGCCGAATCTGTAGTTTTTGTAATTTTTGTCTGTCTGTCTGCCTGTCTGGGAACGCATCACGTGAAAACCATTGGACAGATTTTGATGAAATTGGGTATGATGATAGCAGGTTATCCCGGTCAACATATAAACTACTATTTACTGCTGGAAAATATCTCAGATCTGAGAAATCTATACTAAACGTAAAAACGTAGGGACTAACCCAAGCAGAGCAAGGGTGAGGCGCTAGTGGATTTATATAATTTAATTTAATTTTTCTTTTTCAACACATTTAAAGTAAGAAATTATATCTACATATAACACACAGTCACGCTTTCACATAACTATGAGAAGTAATAAGTAATAACTATATATAGCAATAGTAAAAACGAAAGTGTTAAAAATCGTTAATATTATATATACTAAAAGGTGTTATTATTCTATATAAATACGTATAATTAAAAGAAAATGGTTATTTTTATTTTCATGTAAAAAAACTCTTGCCACTTAAAAATCTATACCGAAATAACAATTTCGTTTTAAATTGTTAAATCTAATCTTAATATTATTATTATTTATCTAATCTAATACTAGCGTTTGCCCGCGGCTTCACTCGCGTTGTTTATTTATGAATCTG